CGAAATAGAACATTAATTGATATGGTTAGGAGTATGATAAGTAATACATCATTACCCAAATCTTTGTGGATGTATGCACTTAAGACTGCTGTGTATCTGCTAAATAGGATTCCAAGTAAGGCAGTTCCTAAAACTCCTTTTGAGTTATGGACTGGAAGGAAACCTAGTTTGAGACACCTGCATGTTTGGGGTTGTCCAGCAGAAGCACGAGTATACAACCCACATGAAAAGAAATTGGATTCTCGAACTGTGAGTGGTTACTTTATTGGTTACCCAGAGAAGTCCAAAGGGTATATGTTTTACTGTCCTAATCATAGTTCTAGAATCGTTGAAACGGGCAATGCTAGATTTATTGAAAATGGTGAAGTTAGTGGGAGTGCTAAAGAGACTGTGGAAATTAATGAAATAAGGGTTAATGTTCCATTACCCATTAATGTTCCAATATCCACAGTTGTACCAAATATTGTTCCACAACCACAAAATAATGGTGGACAATATTTGGATGAAGTAGCACCCCATGAAGAGACTAACTTGCCGCCAACTAATATAAATGAACCACGAGGAATAGCCTTAAGCAAACCTACAAGGGTGAGAAGATCTGCTATTTCGGATGATTATGTGGTTTATTTGCAAGAGTTGGATTATGATACTAGCATTGATGAAGATCCTGTTTCGTTTTCACAAGCCATTAACAGTGACTTGTCTCATAAATGGATTGATGCTATGAAAGAAGAATTAAACTCTATGGCTAAAAACAATGTTTGGGATCTAGTAGAATTGCCAGAAAGTTCAAAACGAGTTGGGTGTAAGTGGGTCTTTAAGACCAAACGCGACTCGAGTGGCAATATCGAACGACATAAAGCTAGACTTGTTGCCAAGGGTTATACTCAGAAAGATGGCATTGATTATAAGGAGACTTTTTCACCTGTTTCTAAGAAAGATTCCTTGAGGATCATTATGGCTTTAGTAGCTCAGTATGATTTAGAGTTACATCAAATGGATGTGAAAACGACCTTTCTTAATGGGGACTTAGATGAGGAAGTTTATATGGATCAACCTGAAGGTTTTTCCATAGAAGGAAAAGGTCACATGGTGTGTAAACTTAAGAAGTCAATATATGAACTTAAACAAGCTTCCAGACAATGGTATATTAAGTTTAATGATACCATCACGTCTTTTGGTTTTCAAGAGAACACTGTTGATCGGTGTATTTACCAGAAGATCAGTGGGAGTAAGTTTATATTTTTGGTTCTATATGTTGATGATATCCTACTTGCTGCTAATGATTTGGGAATTTTGCATGAGACTAAAGATTTTCTCTCAAAGAATTTTGAAATGAAAGATATGGGAGAGGCATCCTATGTGATTGGAATTTTAATATTACGGAATAGATCACAAGGATTGTTGGGGTTGTCTCAGAAAGCATATATCGAGAAAATTCTTGAGAGATTTAGTATGAACAATTGTTCACCAAGTGTTGTCCCATTACAGAAAGGGGACAAGTTTAGTCTTATGCAATGTCCTAAGAATGATGTGGAACGAAAGAGTATGGAATCAATTCCATATGCTTCCGTTGTGGGCAGTTTGATGTACTTGCAAACTTGCACGAGGCCTGATATTAGCTTCGCTGTTGGAATGCTTGGTCGATATCAAAGTAATCCTGGATTGGATCACTGGAAAGCTGCAAAGAAAGTGATGAGATACCTTCAAGGGACGAAGGATCATATGCTCACATTTAGGAAATCTGATCGCCTTGAGGTGATTGGATATTCAGATTCAGATTTTGCTGGGTGCCTTGACAGTCGCAAGTCAACGTTTGGCTATGTTTTTCTCCTCGCCGAAGGAGCAATTTCATGGAAAAGTGCCAAGCAGTCTGTCATAGTTGCATCTACCATGGAGGCTGAATTTGTGGCTTGTTTTGAGGCTACAATTCATGCATTATGGCTGCGGAACTTTATTTCGGGACTTGGGGTTGTCGACACCATTACCAAGCCGCTGAAATTGTATTGTGATAATTCCGCAGCAGTTTTCTTCTCCAAAAACGACAAATATTCCAAGGGTGCAAAACACATGGAATTAAAGTATTTTGCCGTTAAGGAGGAAGTTCAGAAACAAAGAGTGTGCATTGAACATATAAGAACGGATCTTATGATTGCCGATCCGTTGACTAAAGGTCTACAACCAAAGACATTTAAAGAACATGTACATAGAATGGGTCTTGGTTGTATTGATGATTGATTATGATGATGTTATGGCACACTCTTGAGCTCATTGATGTTATGTTTCTGACTATTATCGAATTTCTTGTTCATTATGATTTTGTATACATTATGTTTAGAACAAGAAATGAATGTCTTCATGACAATTAAGTGGACCTTATGATATTTATATATAATTATGGAACTTGATGTGTTTGAACTATTAGTGTAGTAGTATATGGAAGGAAGTACGCGAATCGAGAGTTTACAACTGCCATAACTCTCACTATATGGTTTATCATGTCATAGTTTATTATGATGTATGGCATAACGAGATTTGTTTATGTGCACCTAATGTTATACTATTAAATTATGGGCTTTTGGACCAAGTGGGAGAATGTAAAAATATGTGGCCCGAAAGCATTGGGCTCACATTTAATTATCCTATTGAGCCAGACCTTATTTAATAGTCAAACAAATCTAAGCCATTAATCTGGATATTTGATGGACGTACCAGATCTAAAGACACCCCTATATAAATTAGTCCTCTCTCCTCCTATTAGGGTACGCAGTCATAATCCCATCACTTTTCTGCTATGTTAAGATTGGACAGGAGGGAGAAACTAATTTAGTTCTAACAATCGATCAAGCCTCTTGTGATCATCAAGATCAAGATCACTAATTATGTCGTCTTCCGCATCAAGTAAGTATTTCGTATACACCAAATTATTTATTCAAGATCCTTGATGATGTTTACAAATAAGAGTACTTGTGGATGTTAGTTGAAAAAAAAAAAAAAGTGCAACAATGTGGCAATTTTTGGTTGAAAGCAATATAACAGCAATACATATTTTTCTTCGGGCAAGAAGATAGTGGAGATAATTTTCATTTGACAACTAAGGATAATTGCAGCAAGTTCTTTGTTTTTGAAGTCGAAGGAGCGTACGGTTTTATTGGAAGAAAAATAGAACAACAGTAGATTCCTTTTGCGTGGAGTTTTTTGTCGAAGAACACGGAGTTTTGACGACAAATATCTTTCGGGCTTGTGTTCTTAATAGCTACTCCTATATCATATTTGAGATTATTGTATTATTCTCTTTTGATAGTTTTGATTTGATATAGTGCATCTCGTTTGAACTCGTTATTTATTTTTTGTAGTTCACTAGACGTGTTGGAGATATTTTGGATTTGTTTCAAAAATATTGTGATTAATTTGTTCTAGTGAATGTTTTGACATGTTGTCTTAGTCTACTGTTAATCTTTCGTGATTATTTATTTCCACTGCGTATTTAAATTTATTATCTCTGTGTGAAAATATGGATTTTGGCGCACCTAAAATTCTAACAGGTGGCATCAGAGCAGGTCACTTAATTTAATAAGTATGAATCTTATTTTTTAGGTACGTATGGGGTTTACGGGGTTGCCGTTACCCACACTTGTTCCGAACCGGCCAAAGTCATCCAATGAGAAGATGAAATATGATGGATCTGATGCACCGCAGGAATCCTTGGTTGAGTATGAACATAAAACTGCCCCCTAGAATTGATTTTCTTATAACCGTGGACGAAGAAAGGCCAAGAAAAATCGGTCTACCAGGTGTCGAACGATATGTCACCCGAAGTGTAATGACACCTGGCAGGTATGAAAATGTAAATTCTGAATTATTTTTCCTTAAGACTTTTTTTTGTGACTCTTCAGGCAGGGATATTGGTCCTCCGGAAAGCATTCAATATTTTAGCTATGAAGGTCATGAAAATGTGTACAAGGAACTTTATAAACGCTATTTAGATGTTGTCTACGATGCGGATAGGCTCGAGAAGGAAAACAATAAGTTAAAGGATGGGAATAAGAGGATAAAGTCAGAGGCTAAAAAGTTGGAAGAGGAGAACGAAGCTTTAAAGTCTACCATAACCCAATTGGAGGTGACCATATCTAGTCATGACCAAAAGATGGTGAAGGTAAGAGAGCAACTTCAATACTCCCGTCAGACCTTTCAACGACTTAACACCGGTAAGAGCCAATTGGATGTCCTATCTGATATTGAACATAAATCATAACTGAGTGGGACTTAGTTTTATTCCTACTATATTTGTGTGTCCATCGGAGGAAACAAGTGAGTCCTCAAAATCTACGCCTAAGGTTTCTAAAAATACTAAACAACGAAGGCGTCGATATGTTTGTCATTATTGTCATGCATCCGGGCTCATTAGACCTTATTGTTAGAAATTGCATTCATTAGATAGGTCTTTTAAACCAATGGTGTCGCCCGTGTCCTGTAATGCCCATAATCACGGAACTATAACTAAGAGTAAAGAAAATTTGTTTAGGTACCAAAATCTGAGTTGAAATGCAATGTTATTTATACTTCTTTGAAGTCTGATATTGCAGGTTCGTGGAACTTCGATAGCGGGTGTTCGCGGCACAAGACCGACAATCATGAATTCTTGTCCGACATAGAATCATATGAAGGTTGACGGGTTACATATGGAGGAAGTGAACATGGAAAGATTATTGAATATGTGACGCTCAATGTTGAAGGCCTCCTAAAGCTTCAGAATGTGTTATTGGTTGATGGACTTATGGCTAATCTTATTAGCATAAGTCAATTATGTGATGATAACCTTCATGTAGAATTTGATAGTAAGTCTTGTGATGTTTTTGATGATCTAATTCTTTTTTTTTTCTTGCAGGTGTACGAACTACTCAAAATTGTTATCGAGTTAAAAATGTTGAGGATGACGTTTGGGACGTGTTAACTGCTACATAGTGTCGTCCTGTCGTCCCAGATGTCGCCCAGATGTCATGACACCAGACACAACATCTGAGGCGACACGTATCTCCGACGAGCAAAATACCATTTCTGAGGCTGAGACACAATCTGATTTGGATTTTAGTGATTGGATAAAAGTTGTTAGGAGGTCTCATCCTTTGTCACGATCCGTTAGTGAGGTAACAGATAGTAGTTTGTTTCATCTAACGGTAAGAAAGTTCAGTGGTGTTTACAGTAGTGTTAATGATAATCTTTTTGAGAGAATTAGTGTGAATAATATGGTGTCTTTGCATTATTTTAAATCAAATTTTTGTTGTTGTTGTTGACTTTTACGGATAAATCAAATGATTGATAATTATTGTCGATATAGTGATTTCTTAACCGTACATTGTGATAGCAAGAGTGCAATTGATATTTCAAAAAATCTGTTCAACATTCTTGCACAAAACACATAGATATAAGACATCATTTTATTCGAGATTTAGTTGAGAAAAACATATTTTGCATTGAGTATATAGGGACCGAGAATCAATTAGCCGATATATCCACCAAGACATTAGATTGTGAGGGATTTTCTTATTTAAGGAAATCTCTCATTTTTTGCATTGTTTTAATTAGAATAGGAGTCGTGTTGCAACTTTCACGTTACATCATCGTTGTAACATGAGTTTTGCATACATGCATTTTTCATTTCTTTTCATTCATAATTGCATTATTATTGCATAAATGGTATATTTGTTGGGGGCCTGAAGTTGTAATGGTGCATTCTTTCACTTGATAAATGGATTATTGGTCGTATCTTTCCACATAAAAAAAAAAATGCATGTTGGAGACTTTGAAGGGAAAGAGCTACCTATTCCTTAAGAGTGCAGCTAATCTTTGTGGCCGAATTCTTCTATAATTAAAAATGTGTTGAATAGAGGAATGATCAAGTAGAAAGAAGGCCACATTTGGTTTAATGTGAAAGCTACCCTATTGTCATTATTCTTCCTTTAAAAAAAAAGTGAAGTGCAATTTTTAATCCACGTAAAAGTGTTAAACGTGTCATTATTTCTTTTGTGCTAACTTTGATTATATCGTTCACGTTTACCTCTCTTTTTACTTTCTTAGGCATGCTTTTTTGGCATAATTAGGACACGCATACTTGGTAAATGTAAAAGTTATGATCTTATTTCTTCAGGCGATGTGTGAATTATGGAACTATCGTCTATGTCTTTGAATGGGTAGTACTTTCTGTGGAGTGAGTTCGCGAGCTAGTTTGGAAAACTTGGGCGATTATGAGATTACATGCATTATGATTGTGAAGTTTATATTTATGGCTTTGAGATTAATGTGTCGATATGATTCTTATTGATTTTGGTTTGTCCGTAATGAGTCTCTTGTGTGTTTGCATCTCTTTAGTCCATCTTTATTTTTTTTGCTGTCAAATTGTTCTTACTTGTTGTTGTGTTTTATATTAAGTCGTGCCCACGCCTTGAAAATATATGTTGTTGTTTTTGGTGGTGTTTTGAGTCCATTTTTTGTTTTTTTTTTTTC